GAATTACGAAAGTTGTTATGTATTGATGTTGTTTTTCAAGATTTGGTAGTTTTTATCGGTCCAAGTGTTTTCAATTCGTGGCGTGACGCTCCGAGATTTGTCTGAAATTTTGAGCTTCAAAAGCGGCATTTGGTCGAAATTCAGTTATTATCGATTTTCTCGAAAATAAATCGATATTCAGCCAAACGAAGTATGCAGTGCTTTGTTTCACCATAAGGCCTACCTAACTTGAGAATATGAGCCGAATCGATTTTCGGCTGTTGCCACCATATTTTGAAAATGTTCGATTTTTGGCCACATTTCCTCTTAAAATTCAAACGACGCCACTCAAACTGCTATTTACGCGAAGCTCTTTCTAAATTGGGTGCCAAGGTGAACCATAAATACCAGAGTCAAAAAAGCGGGACTAAAATGTGGGGCTACCCTAAGTTTTTAAAAAACAGGACCGTGATGCCACGTTTCATGACGTTTTGGTCGCTGGTGCGGACTGTTTGTATTTTAAAATATTGTTGGTTTTCAAAAGCGCGCCGTGAGCTTCAAACTAGATGAAATGTTCCCGTTTTAGAGTTACACTATACCTCAGTCAGTCCGATACAAATTTATCAAATTGATACGAGCTCGCTTTCTTTTACGCTCTTCATGAGCAAAGTTGATTTGCTTCTACTAGGGTGACTGATTTCCGCCATTTTACGGCTATCGACGCTCGTTTCAGTTTTCGTGAATTTTCTGGAATAGAGAAGCAAGCCTTGGCAAGAAAACCTTACCACGTTTCTAAGTTATAAGGTATCTCTGACCGAAATAGTAATTTTTCGTTCGCTATGCCATACTGGAACATAGTCGCAGCTTCGCTGTCCAAAGTTTTGATTTTACTCGAATTCTAGGATTTATTTCAAAGTGCGAAGTCCCACATAATCGAAGTGACCGGCCCCGTTTCATTTGGCACAAATTTGGTTTGGCTGTATAAAAAATTGTGTAAGTAAACTTTTAGACACATTCTTCGATTACACTTTGTTGCAAAAGTTACCACAAATGCGCTTTTGAAGTGCATGTAGATGAAAATTTAGAAGCATTAAGCAAAATGTGAGCAGAGGACGCGGTAGAACTGGACATTATGTTAAATGAAAGTCACTTTCTATACATGTTCATGCTTACAGTTCTGTTCTTTGTGAGATGTCTTGCGGATAACGTATTGTATAAAGTAATGTAAAACTGTATGTAAAACTGATGTTTCCAGCGTTAGTTCATGAGTTTCTGTCATTCCATGGTAAATACACGCGGACGAAAATCCCGTTCTTAAAGTAAATAAGATAGCGGCCGTCAAAATTCAAAGCAAACGGAAAGAAGAGTGCTGACTTTGTGACGACGTGAAGATCATCGGAAAGAACAAAAGCACCACGAACAGCATCTTCGCAGAACTGCCTGACTTAACTGCTCATTATGATCAGCATCAGCACCAGCACCTTTTTTGGTGCTACGAAATGACGCTCTGAGTATCGCGGTCGCTTGTTGTCATAGCAATGTTTGATTTGAACAACATTCCGACGGTGACGAGAATAAAGTCAGGTCTCTGCGCACACAAATATCTAAGTCACTTCTCGAGAGAGCGCACTGTGTGTTCGTGTATGATGATTGTGGACATGAGACGAAAGAGATCTGAAGATTGCTTATCTAAATTACATCTCGGTCTGAATATATTAATTAAGTGAAATGACATGTTAATCGACTCATTTGTGGTATTTTTCACCTTCATGACCCATTTGAAGCGTCTTTTCACGAAATAAATATATATATATATATATATATATATATGTATCAATATCAGATTAATACGAGCTTGCCTTCTTTTCCGCTTTTCATGACCAAAGGTGAGATACTTCTACTAGGAGTAGGAGCACTGATGTCTGCTCTTTTAAAGCTATCGACGCTCGTTTCAGTTTTCGTGAATTTTCTAAATTAAGGAAGCAACTGCTTTTCAGTAGACTCAGTCTTTAATGGTAACGTATTCCATATTATCATTTCAACTAGTTAGTGAAAAGCGTTATTTACGGATATTCGTGCCGATAAATAACAAGAAGGGGAAAGATTTATCTTGATTGCAATACGCTTAGCCTTACGTACCATATGTTAAGCTTTGCGTGACAAACACTTGGGTGTGTTACATCTACACTATTGTCTGCCCACCTTCAACGTCGGCAAAGAGCTGTTGACCTACTGGTATAAATGATTGAATCGTCCTCTTTGAAGTCCACAGGTCAGCTCAATTTTATCCTAAAACTTTCTGACAACTTAAACGTGTTCGAATATGCGAAGAAAAACAGACGCCGCCTCCGCAAACCTAGGGAATGCGTTATCGTAAACAATATCGCCATGACAAGTGGATGACAATTTGAAACGAAAGGAGGGACGTAAAGAGCAACAGCTCAGAAAAAAAACATTCCATTTCCATTGTATACTTTTTCGTTGAAAACAACCTTGCCCAAACATAAGGTTAAGATTACTGACAACTCATTCATTGCCAAGAGATACGAAAATGTCAAACATTTCAAGCATTTCAAGAGCTCATCTAATTTGTCGGTTTGCGTTGACGATGGAAAACGGAAGCCGGGCACAAAAATCTTTTTGAGATAACTTTATTGAAGAGCTTAGAAACCAGGCTCAGTTCAGTAACCAAGCCTCCTAGTGGTTTTCATATAAGAAGAAAGGTAAAGACAGACCAGCACGGACTCCTCGTGTGGCTTTTGAGATCGCGTCGCATTACCGCCGTCAAATTAAATATTTGCTCACAAAAGCGTGTCTTAAGAGTTAAAGGGATTTTCCTTTCTTGTAAGAAATGATCTGAGGTTTACTGAAAATTGTTTTCATACCCTACTTATTTGAGATTCTCAGTACACAAAGTCGTTAGAAATTGCAAACAACAAAAACTCATCCTTCCTTTATCGTTCAAGATTTCTCAAGACACTCAATACAACAACGATGTATCTGAATTTTGTTACGATTGAAACGACTGACCCAATTCTTCTGATTGACCGCTCATTCTCTCAACTGCCCAATTCTGACGGATTATTTTTGGTCTTATTTAATTGACAATTTTTCTAACTTCAGAACACAATTTTTTGAACGAGTCAACATTGGACACATGGCTCAGCCTCTTGTTCAGCTCACTTTTAGCGTTCAGGTATCCCCTAAAGGAGATATACCGAAAACGCTTTCATGTTTGGAACACCCTAATTACACAATCTAAATGGCTAACACCCACCTAATCTAACTTTAGATCAGTGGGGTTAAAGCCGTTTTAAATGATAATCTCAGTCTTCCCAGTAGCTCATTAAATATGCATAAACATTTCGACCAATCAAATCCCTCACTCATCGGTGAACAAGCCAAGGTGATCGCTGCGAAATGCGTCGGTTAAAGCCTGACTCTTCCTTGATGTGAAGAATATTTGGCGCGATGGAAAGAAAACCACTGTATCGATTCCGCTGAGAGTGGATCTTGGTGAGCAGCCTCATAAGAGCACGGAGGAAAATAGTCAGGACACCAACAGTCCAGTAGAACAAGATGTCCCTCTTGACGATCTCGACAAGCAGGAACTCTCAAATCAACAGCAAAATCGTGTTTTGAGTATCTCTACTAACTGGGAAAAGGTACGGGAAAATTTGCTGAATTCGTACATTGAAGAACAGCATCTTCCAGACAATATTAACTGTGTGAACTGTCAAGAGAGTATCGCTACAACACGATGTGAATACTGTGGCCCTCGCCAGTACTTCTGTGTTGAATGTGCACGAGCTCTACATGTCAATCGAAACAAGTTTCATGTACTTGAGCAATGGAAGGTGTGTATGAATATTTTGGGGCCGGTTGTATTCTAGCTACTTTTAGTGTAACATATCTGGTTAAACTGTACTTTTATCTACTTCTTACTTTCTTTATTTTAATAGGATGGGGTATTTTCTCCTTTGTATGCAGATGAGGCAACTGTTAGCTATGGCCATACGTGCAGAACCGCAACAGTAAAGCTGTTCAGACTTCTGGATGCCTCAGGTCAGCTCATTTCATTTATAGTGGTTAGAAAATACTAGAATGGTTTTAAAACGAAGCGTTCTTTTTCAATTTTATCTGCTCCTT